GCAGCTCACTCCCACCTTCTTGAGGGCAATTAGGGAAGGGAACTAATAGCCAGCAACACCCTTGAATGAATTTAAAAATTATCGCAAACAAATACATCATTTTTCCTTATACTAAAGGTCTTTTAAAATGCTTATACATTTACTTATTGTCAATTGTTTGGTCACTCCTGTCAGCAATCTGCTTGTTTTTGAATAGCTCAATGAGACAAAGTTGCTTTATGAGGCAGAATCAAAATTCAATTTATTCAAATCTGAAGATCCTCCAAGCACTGAATCTTAGCTGTTAGTCAGAGTTGGTCAGTCTGCTATCTTTGGGATCTACAGTCTCATTTATTGATAAGAGAACTTAAACAAACCAAGATAATGGAGATTATTATTTTCTGTCCAGCAATGTGGTTTGTCATTCCTGATGCACTGAATATGACCTGGGATCTAAAAGGGTTGCAAGGTAGCCAAAAGAGAATATTGTATTCTCCAGAGATACTTTGATCAAATGAGTGTGTCAGAAAAACAGACTTTTAAAAAAAATTGGAACATTCCAATTTTTGTGCATCCTCTTTTCCTAGTGGATATACAAATTCACAATTACAGACAAATTACTTGCTGAAACGCAGTCAAATTGATGACTTGAAGTGACGATGTACACAAAATTGAAATGAAAAAGGAGATCCAAACAAAAGTGACTTCAAACTAAAATGTAAGGATGAGGGCATTAGAACCCAGATGCAAACAGATTGAAAAACAAACGATTGTTGAGCGGTTCTTCACAAGCAGTGACAAACAAGGATAAAGTAGTGACAAAAAAAAAAAAAAAAAAAATCGCTGGATTCATATTAGCAATAAAATGGGATAAGCTGACGATTGATGGTGAGGGGATTAGGAAATTGTAAGGTCTAACTAAGTTATTCAACTTTATTTATCTTGTGAATACGGAGAACAAATAGTACACAGTACAGTCGGACGAGTTGGACTTGAAAGTTAAATAGCTTCTGAAATGCACTACTCGGCAGAGGTGCACAGGGCTGTGCACAGTATATGAGTAACTGTTGTGAAAAGACTGCAAGATACACTTGCAAGCTACACAGCGGAACATAATATTCACAGGATATGAATGGTTTTCAACCAGAAAGCAACCAAGTAGAAACACCGCTCTTCTTCAAATAGAATCTTTATGTCAACTTGAACGGGCAGCTAAGGGTTTGCTTTAACCTCTCACCTCTAACAAGAAGCACTGCCTTAGCATGCAACTGAAGGATCATCCCAGATTGTGTTAAGGTCTAGAGTTGGACTTGAAAACCAATAACTTTCTGACATTGATTCAAAGTGATAGCCAGGGGTTAGGACAAAAATGACACCAGGTTATAGTCCAACAGGATCGTTTGACAACCCAAGCTTTCAGAGGCTCGCTCCTTCTTCAGGTGTCATTGAGAGAGTGGCATCAGACACAGAATTTATAAGCAAAAGATGAAAGCGTCATAGAATGATACAAATGTGTTGAACAGACCTAAGATGGCTGTTAAATCTTTAATCAGTTAGAAAGGATTAATATGCAAATTCCAGAATTTCTTTCAAGTCACTGCCCTGAGATAACTAAAGGTTTTCTCAGTTCCATCAGTATACCAGAGGTGACATCCCAGGTCAAACATTTAGGTGGGAGGCCTTGTTTAGAATTTGGCTGTGTATTAACTTCAAGTCAAACTGGTTTTATTTCCAAAGCAGAAATTTATAAAATGCCACGTTCATGGTCTACAAATTGTGTGCTTTTTGAACAAAATAAAACGCATCTGCAAATGCAAATTCACACACACACGAGAGAGAGACAGGAGAAGGGGCCGAGTGTGTGTGCGTGCGTGTGCAATTGTGCAAGCTTGAGAGAGAGGGTGTGTGTATGAGGGTCTGTGTATGTGTGCATGAGAGGGTGTATAGTGTGGTGGAGTCACCTGTAGTACGACATGAACGCAAGACCCCCGTTGAGGCCGTCCTCCTGGGTACCAAACTTGGTTATCAGCCTCTGCCCGGCGACTATGTTTATGCGCATCCCGAAGTCTGCCTTGGATGACATTTACCCCAAGATCCGAGGTTGAAGGTCTCTTTCTCCCTTCTCTCCCCCTCCACCCCACCCACCCACCCACCCACCAATCACTCTCTCTCTCAGTCTCTCACACACACACACAGGAAATAAAACAAGTCTGACTCCAAATTGTTACACTGCCAGATTCTAAACAAGGCCTCATACCCAAAGTGCATTGTCTGACCTGGGATGTCACCTCTGGTATACTGAGGGAGCTGATAAAACCTTTAGTTATCTCAGGGCAGTGCCTTGAAAGAAACTCTGAAATTTGCATATTAATCCTTTCTAACTGATTAAAGATTCTACAGCCATCTTAGGTTTGTTCAAATCATTCGCATCAGTTCTATGACCCTTTCATCTTTTGCTTATAAATTCTGTGTCTGATGCCACCTCTCTCACTGATGCCTGAAGGAGGAGCGAGACTCCAGAAGCTTGTGTCTTCAAATAAACCTGTTGCATTATAACCTGGTGTCGTGTGATTTTTTGACCTTGTCCACCCCAGTCCAACACTGGCACATCCACATCACTAGGGTTAGGAAATAGATAGGAAGTTATATAGAAAGGCACAAACCACAAGTATTTTCTTTTAAGGAACAGAAAAATACATTAAAAGATTTTACATAAAATAATAGAAAGTGCAGTTAATGTCAGCTTGCATCTGAGGAGACAAATCCAAACAGAAACAATGAAAAGTCATAAATCTGAAAAACGAACTCTTTTCTCTCTCCACAGATGCAGACCACCTTGCTGTGCATTTGCAGTTATCATTAGGATTCCCATCATTTGCAGTATTATGCTTTTGTCAAGGGTCTGATCTGCACAGCAGAGGGACACAAGTTGGTCAATGAGTTAATCAGTGATGGTGAAAGCTCAACTTGTATGATGTGCCTGCCCTACAATACAAAAGTTAAGCTAATCTTTGATAGGAGGAATCTCAGAAGCCCACTGTATGCCACTCAATCTACAGCAAGTGTTGCTGAGCCATCCCTGGAATTCAATCAACAACTTGTATTTATGTAGCACCCTTAACATATTAAAATGCCCAAAGCAATTCACAGGAAAACAATGAAGATTGGTTAAGCCACATAATGAAATAGTGGAACATAATCAGAAAAAGCTTATGAGACAAAGAGGCAGAATTAAGACTTTCTGAAGAGTGTTCTGCCTATGCATGAACATTTGTGCATGCGTTTGGGGATGCACGAATGGGGACATGTGGGGTTGTGGCGGGCCTGTGTATGTGCACATTCAGGGCATGGAGGAAGTGGGGGGGTTGTTGGTGTGTGGAGGAAGGTTCCACAGCTTAGGACCAACTCAGCAAAATGCTGACTGCCAACAGAGCTAGCATGAAAATGTGGACTGTGCAAGAGATCAGAATTCAGGGAGTTCAGAAATGAGAACATCAAATACATAGCACCTAAAAGGAGGTAAAAAAAAAAAAAAAATGTCAGGTCAGCTTTCTGGATGGAACTTTACATCACTGCTCCTGTTCTCAGAGGAGGTCCTAATGGACACTGAGGACATGGACTTTAGGAAGGCATTTGTTAAGGTATCTCATGGCAGGCTGGTACAAAATGCAGTCTCATGGGATCAGGGGTGAGCTGGTTTGATGGAAGCAAAACTGGCTTGGTCATAGAAGACAGAGAGTAGCATTGGAAGGTTGATTTTCAAAATGGATAACAGTAACTGGTGGTGGTCCACAGGGATCAGGGCAGGGATCTTTGTTGTTTGTAATATATATAAAAATGATCTGGAGAAAAATGATTAGTAAGTTTGTGGATGACACCTAAATAGGCAAAGATGCAGATAGTGACAAGGATTGCCAAAGGATACAACAGGATAGACTGCAGATTTGGGCAGAGAATGGCAGATGGAGTTTAATCTGGACAAATGCGAGGTGATGCATTTTGGAAGATCAAATTCAGGTGCTAATTATACAGTAAATGGCAGCGCTCTTAGCAGCATTGACTTGCAGGGATCAGGACATCCAGGTCCACAGATCCCTTAAAGTGACAACACAGGCGGATAAGGTGATCAAGAAGGCAAACAGTACACATGCCTTCATCAACCAGGGCAGTGAATGTAAAAGTTGGCAAGTTATGTTATAGATGCATAAAACTTTAGTTAGGCCACATTCAGAATATTGCATATAGTTCTGGTCGCCACACTACCAGAAGAACGTAGATCCTTTGGAGAGGGTGCAGAGAACGTTTACCAGGACGTTGCCTGGTCTGGAGGGTTTAGGTTACGAGGACAGGTTGGATAAACTTGGATTGTTTTCATTGGAAAGACAGAGGCTGAGGGGCCACCTGTTAGAGGTCTACAAAATTATGAGATGTATAGATAGTGTAGATAGTCAAAGGCTTTTTCCCAAGGTGGAAAGGTCAACCCACCAGAGGACACAGGTTCAAGGAGACAGGGGGCAAACTTAAAGAAGTGTGGGGAAAATTTTTCACCCAGAGGGTGGTGGGTACCTGAAACGCACTGCCAGTGAAGGTGGTGGAAGCAGGCACATTAGCAATGTTTAAGGCGTATCTTGATAGACACATGAACGGGAGGTGAACAGAGGGGTAGAAACTGCATAGGGGCAGCAAGTAGTGGGTCTAAATAAGAATTAGGAATCGGCGCAAGCTTGGTGGGCTGAAGGGCCTGTTCCTGTGCTGTATTGTACTGTATAGTATATTGTATTGTAAATGTTGTACAGCATTGTTCATTATAGGTTCAACATTTTCTGTTTTGCAACCCATTAGCTTTCCAGGTTTATTGTATTCATGACTTTAAAATTCAATTGTTACATTAAAATTCACTTAATGTTCCATTAAGTAGAAGAAATTAAATCACAGCATTTTGTTTAAGATAGATCAAGTTATCTGGTGAATGCTACAGTTGGGAAAATTGTTATTTCAGACTTCTATTAGGTCACAATTACCTTCTATCATTACCAAGAACATCAAAGAAGCCAACTTCCGGGCAAGAATCAGGGCTGCAAGGACCAACTGTGATCTGTTTATGCAGGGCGACAAATTTCAATTTCTCTTCATATGTCGGGTGGAAAGCTTTACCGTCTTTTTCTGCAAATGGAATGATAAAAAAAATTACTCTCAAATCAATGGACCTGTCCGCTGTTTTATTTACATTCTGGCCTTCACCAATTACCATAGTTCACAGTAATGAAAGCAACATTTTTTTTGGAAGCTCAACTGTCAAGTACTGCTTACACCTTGCCCTAGGCCGGTGGTGATTACTCAAGTCCTTTACCTCTTCCGCAAGTAGCAAATTCCCATTGTGTCACAATTGATATTTACTAAGTGAACACTAGCACATCCTCACAATAGAGGAAATGGCAGAGAAACACAAAGGTTTAACCAATTCCTTTCACTTCTGCTAGATGCCAAGATAAACAGTCTTTGACTGTAATCCCCACAGAGCAAGAAAGAGTGAGCAAAGCACTGAAACCAAGCTCCGTTAATGTTATACATAGGTGGGTGGAGGCAAATGACTAATCCCCAAACTTTGCTTTTGCACATAGAGTCAAAGAGATATGCTTGAGTTTCCAATCGTCCTAATAATCGGATCCTGAAAGACAGAGCATGCAAGAACAGTCGATCTGTGGGTCACATCATGAGAGGGCTCAAAGTCTAAATTAACCTTAATTATTTTTATGTATGAGTGAAAACAAAGGCTTGAAGGAGGGTCTGGATAATGTTACAGCTTTTTTTTAAAATACCTTTTTCTACCTCTCCAACACTCTACTGTTCTCTTTCAGGAGGTTTAAGGGGAAACCGGGAAGAACGGGAGAAACAATGCAAGAAGTCTATGAGGGAGAATAGTTTCAAAAGTACAACCAGATTTTAGAAGAGTGAAGTTAGCAACTCTCCTCTACATACAGCGTGGTGGTAGTTTGGAATTGCATTTCCCCCAGCAACTTCTCCAACAAGAATCAATGTCAGTAAGGCATTCCTTACAGTGTTACAATGAATTCTTGTGTTGTTAGGCCCCCACCCAGAACATTACACTTTGCCCACTCTTTCTTGCTCTGTAGGGAATATTTGAACATTACTACAAATACAGTACCTAAGATTATTTTTGAAATAATTTTCAATCTAGGTATTGAGATTGAACAACATCTAAAGCAACTGATAATGGATTCACATCTCACTCCAGAGACTTAAGACAAAGTCTAGGTTGGCATATCAATGCAGGACTGGTGGTGGAGCCATCTTTTGGATGAGACATTAAGCAGAGTTTAACCTCCCCGTCAGATGGGCAAAAAAGATCTGTAGTATAGTTTCAAAATAAGACAAGTGTTTTCCATGCTCTCATAGCCAATAATTACTCTGCAACAAACAACAACCCCATATCTAGTCATTACCATTTCTTGCAGTTTGCCAGATCTTGCTGTATGTAAATTGGCTACATTTCCTATTCTTCATCACCGTAAAGCACTTTATGATCCTCTAAAGTTTTGATTGATGCTAGATAAACATAAGCTTTGTCTTGCTTACTGGTCCAGTAACAAAACCACTGCATCACAAAAGCTTAGTGTCCAGTGATAGTTCACCTCTTAATGTAACATAAGATGTTTTGCTGCTGTTCAATATTCTCAGAACTGTCAGTGTCTAGGAAACCTGACAATGCACACAATTCAGAGCACATCTGAGCCCGAGATCCATTTCAATTGTCTAATTCATCAACAGACCTAAAGCACCAAGTTTCACAATGTTTTCACAAAGCTTTCTAAATGTCACTTATCAATGAGAAGCCTCTGCTTGTTCTTAAAAGGCATGAAATTAGCAACAGAATTGTCAAAGAACACCAAGCTGAGCATTTGTAAAGGTTAGATTTAGAATGGAGCACAAAGTTCTACAGGTAGTGATATTTTGAATATACAAATTCAGATGTGGGCGGGAGGTGGGGGGGAAGGGAAAGGAAAAATAAAATGAAACTATTTCAGTCATTTTCTGGGATTTTAGAAGTGTGTTGAGTCAAAATGCACTGGTCAGACAGATTAAGGGATAATTTGATCAAGGTAGATAGCTTCATTCATTTTTAATTTAACAATTTTGAAAGTATATAATTTAATTGCCTTAGACAGTCCCTTGGGATTGAGGATGACTCACTTCCAATCCCAATCGATGGGTAATATATTTCTGCAAGTTAAATATCATGGAGGCATGGAATTAATCTACAGAATAGACAGGAAACTGCTCAACCAAAGCAAAATCACGCCAACTTCAGTCTCTGAGCTTCAGCATGTCATGAACGGGTGTGTGTGTGAACATTCAGAAACTGAGCTCCTTGTCACTGTTGAATCCTTCTCAAAAGTATATGAGTAAATAGAGAAGTGCGTTGGTTCAAAGTCAGCCTTCACTGAGAAGTGTTTGTTGTGGTTTCATTGGTAAGGGTCACAGTTTGCACGATGTGGAATAGATAAAACTGGTGACAAATTTTTGGAGCATCTAAATTTGAAAAGGATAATCTGCGAATCTTCACTTTTGTAAAAGACCTGGTGGTGCTATTCCTTACATGTGTCATACAATGAAGATGGTATTTGTAGTGTTCTGTGACTCAGGAATGGGCTTTTCACCCACTGGGAAGAAGTAGTTGAGAAAACTTTGAATTTATATCATTCATAGTCAACCATTGAAAGTACAGCAATTCAGTTAGAACACGAGAGTTTTCAGACAAAGACAAGGCAGGATGAATAGCCCCTTTGAGTGCCACCATGACAGACGGACTGCAAGTACAGAAATACAGGGTGACATGTACAATCTCTTCTCCAAAGCCATGAACTGTGGAATAATACAGACAATTTGATCCATCATTCCTATGCCATTTAATCAGGCCCATTCTGTTGCTCTTTAAAATTGAGGGCTTTTGGAGGAGTACGGTAGAGGCACGATACCACTACAAAGGAAACAGAACCAGCATTATCAGAAACATAAGGAGGGAGATGTGGGGAGTTGACCAGTGGCCAACAGATGCTCAACGCGCTACTTCTCTCTTCCTCCGTAAGAACACCACCCCCAAGTTACTGTTCTTCATTCAGAAAATCAGCATGGGTAAGTCCAAAACTAGAGGGCAAAAGTTTAAGGTGAGAGGGGCAAGATTTAAAAGGGACTGAAGGGGCAACTTTTTCACACAAAGGGTGGTGCATGTATGGAATGAGCTGCTACAGGAAGTGGTGCAGGCTGGTACAATTACAACAGTTAAAAGGCATTTGGATGAGTATATGAATAGGAAGGGTTTAGAGGGAGATGGGCCAAATGCTGGCAAGTGGGACTAGATTAATTCAGGAATCTGGTCGGCATGGATGAGTTGAGTCTAAGGGTCTGTTTCCATGCTGTACAGCTCCATGACTTTATCAGTCTAACTCTACCCTAGGTAGGGTATGGTTGTAAGGGAATCAGAGGGTCACTAAAGTCAGTCATGAGATTTCCTCCACTTACGCTACTCTCTAGCAGGAATGACTAACAATAAGCAAAAAACAAAAACAAACTGCTGGAGAAACTCAGGTGTGGTAGTATCCGTGGAGAAAAAGCAGAGTTAATGTTTTGGGTCCAGTGAACCTTCTTCAGGACATTTTCATTTTATTATTTTGTATTAACAAAAAGGACAATCATTGTCAATTTGCCATGGACTACTGGGATAGGACAAGGGGACCCTAGTTTAAATTAGTGAAATTATGAAAATTAAGACTGATAGAATAATGCTCTCATGCACTTGAGGTAGATTCCCATGAATGTAGTGGCAATGCCATCTGTGCTGCTGCAAGTTTGGTGGGGTAGGGTCAGTTGAGCTAGGCAAATTAAGATGGGTCAAATGGCTCCCTCATCAGACTACCTTGGTAACGCCACTTATAGTACTTTCTAGTGTAACCAAGTTGGTACAGAAGGAGACTCAAATCTTGGATTGTGCTAGTAACTTTTGGAATACTGCGTGCAATTCTGGTCTCCCTGCTTATAAGAAGGATGTTGTGGTTCAGAAAAGATTCACAAGGATGGTGCCAGGGTTGGATGAGTATACGAATAAGAAAGGTTCAACGGGATATGGGCCAAATGCTGGTAAATGGGGCTAAATTTATTTAGGATATTTGGTCGACATGGATGAGTTGGAGGGTCTGCTTCCATGCTGTACAGCTCTACGACTCTATTGTACTTCCTATGTTAGGTGATGCACTTTCTGCAGTTTCAAAACTGGATTAACACAAATCAGAGACCTGGTGTTATTGACAATGCTTCAAGAGAAACAGCACCAAGGAATGAATGGCATTTTCTCTGGACATGACAAATTTATGACCAATGTGATAACAGCACTGCAGAAGATACTAAGAGAAAATTAAAATGCTTTGCATGGAAGATTGCAATAAATTAAACCCCAGAGCTTTCCAGTTTAGTTTAACTTTCAAATTAGAAAACAAAGCCAGCATACCAGAACAAGGAAAATTGTGAATTGGGGCAAGCAATTTGGAGCTCCTGCAACAGGACCATGGCACATCCCGTGAAGTTTATAGATCCAACAGGACCTGATAACTAAGCATCAATTTCTTCCCACTTCAAAAAAAGTCACAGAAACTGTGCAAGTAAGTAACTGTGCATGCCCAATGTACCTTCAGTTGAGACAAAAGGATAGTACATGGTGTTGGGGTGGAGGGGAAGCAGACCCATCAATGATTTTTTTGGGGCAGACAGACTGGGGTGAAGGAAGGCTGAGTTACTCAAACTCCACCCAAAGAGACAGAAGTAAACTGTCATGGCCACAAATGCATACATCAGCTTGTGGGAACTTCTGTAGTGCCATCACAGCACTTTATTTATAGCTGTTTTACTGATTAATGTGCTGTCAAGTCAATAATCCATGAAAATACTGAAATTGTACATCCTAAGGCACCTAAACTTGTCATTCACAATCCTGAACCTGTGATCTTTCTAGGAGTAAGAGAAATGACCTTACTGTATCTTCGTAGTGATCGGTGTTGGGCTGAAGAGTACTTCAACTCGCCACTTTGACTGGGAGCTTTACAGAAAAGACTTGAATTGAAAGAATGTGGAGGGAAAAATCACATTTCCTC